CAAATGCTTTCTCAAAATAAAATAAAAATAAAAGTACATTTGAATAATGAGTTTAACTATCTATTAACTAATTACCCAGAATAAAAGTTGAATAATTTTGGCACCGATCCATATACAGAGAAAGGAAGAATCTGGAACTCTAACCATCAGGAGGTTCATTCCACTAATGCAGGGGTTTGCAAACTTTACCATCAAAAGAGCCATTTTTACGCCTTTGTTCACCAAATTGATAGTGTTCAGAGCTGCAACAACCTGCTACGACTGTGATTATCAACTGGTGGCCTGTGGGCCACTTTAGGTTTGTTAGAGGAGGCTTTTATGTCCACTAGGGGTGACATTATAAAACTAAAAATATCTAATGATGTTTAGCATTTCTTGATATCTTTATAATTTAAGACAAATGAAAAGAGCAGATTATTGTAGGGGGAGGAGTTAAATTAATAAAAATCTATGAACTATGCTGACCTATGTGATTGCGTTTCATTGTGGAAAAATTAATTAAGTATAGAAATAAAGCATAAAGTTAAAGTGAGTATGTTTTACTCCTTGTACTAGTTCAAGTGTTCACATATTTGCAAAAGAAATGACAGGAAAACTGCTAAAACTAATACTTTGTTGTTGTTTGTACAACAACAATAAAATTAAATTTTATGTTAGTTTTGGTCAAAGCTTGAAAGAGCCATGTGGAGGGTTGCAGTGGGAGCAGTGGGAGTGGGAGTGGTGGCGCAGAGGTTAGAGAGGTGGGCCTGTGATCCGAAGATCGCCGGTTCACGCCCCGGCCCAGACAACATCAAAAAAATTGTGGGTGGGGTAGGTGAAACACCCACACTTGCCTCAACCCTCATTCGCCCCACTCTGGGCCCATGAGCAAGGCCCTTAACCCCCACCATGTGCTCCCTAAATAGGTCTCTCTTGAAAATGAGTTCTCGTGGCTCAATGAGACTACCTGTATAAATAAAGGCTAAATGAAAAAAAAATGCAGACCCCTGCACGATCGTTAACCCAGCAAGAGGAGTAGATGTTTCTTGGATTAACGGAGATCTTGGAACATTTTATGGAGGCATTGCTGCTTGCAGGGACAAATGGTCAGATCTTTGTACCTCAGGACTCATGTTGGTCTGGCATCAGTGTCCCAGGAGTTAAAATTACTCAGATTGTGGGAATGATCTTCTCAGCTGAAGGAGAACACCATGTTATCTTGAAAAATAATTTACAGAAGCAAAAACGTTAATCTGAATTATTTCCCAGCTAGAAGACTTCAAAATATCACAAAGATCTGTTCAGTAACAAAGTTCAGTCACTAAAAACATAGATCCCATAAGTTCAGATGAGAATACTGCAGACTCCGACAATGATTTGAGTGTTTGATCAGGAAGAAGTCATAAAGTTGGTGTCGCCTGATCGTCCGCGTACAACACAGTCTTTAGCCTGAAGATGTTTTCACAAGATTCTGTTCAGAAAGAGTTGGGAGAGTGTTTAAATAAAAAAATAACTTAATAGCCAATTAATTAAGAAAGAGCCAAGAGCTATTTCTGATGAACTTTAAGAGCTCCATTTTGCTAAAGATGTTGATTTGGATGGTAAGATTTTTAAACGGACATTTATTTTTGGTAAAATGCTATATGACTGCTATACAACACAAACCACAAAACCAGATTTGAGGATTTATTTTTGATTGTACACTTACAAAAACATCAGGTAATAAAAAGTAACTGCTATACACCATAAAAACAAACAAAAAAAAAACTGTGTTCACATAAAAAAAAAATTACAGTATCTTTATTAAAGAATAAAAGGCACGTGTTGCTCCCTTACAGACCCCCACTCTATTTACACATGAGAAAGTCTAAATGCGTACTTGCTACTTCTTATTTAGGGTAACACTGATCTGTGTGTATGTACACGGTTTAAACACACACACACACACACAAAAGCCCACAAACCAAAAAAATCATGAATCCACTCAGAAATCCAATTATGCATCAAAGGCTTTTTTTTTCTTGATAAGTGAAGGTTTTTTGATTTTTACATAAAGTAAACAATCTTTAAATACAGAAATGTGGACAATAAGAAAGTGTGGTAATTATTAGGCACATTTATTTTTAGATAGATTTTTTTTTCTAAGTAAAGTCCCTCAATTGATGCATGATACACAGAAACAAAATAAGATCACTTAAACCTTAAAGCAGTGTTTTGAATTCTCTGGAGATGTTTTTGTTTGTTTCTCGCCATAAATGCAAATAATGTTCGTGGTCTGAATCCCACCCTGAGAGGCATGTTTGTACGGTCTGAATCCAAGCTGCAACCTTTATTCAAGCAAAGAAATGCTGGCACGCAGCGCTAATGTCCAAAAACTCTGACAGAAATTCAGTTGTCTCAAACAATATGAGATGATTTCAGAAGGTTTAAACACAGGATTCATTTACAATTAGTCATATTTTGAATTACTTAATACATTTCTCAGGAAGAATGAGTAAAAACATGAAATGAGTGCACATACATAACAAAAACAAATATGACACTTTCAAAACAACAGCCCAAGTGTTGAAATGTCATAGTAAAAGATTGGATTGTAATACCAACTCCCGTTGTCATAAATTTATGTTCAAAGTAGTTACCTAGTTTAAAACAATTAACACTTGCTTATAAAATATTCTGTATAGATTTTTAACTCTGATGCCAATGTTTGTTGCTGAAAGGAAAATGATGTTGCAGCACCTCTTTGTTTGCTGCAGCTGCTTGATTTATTTGTTATTCTTCAAAATGCATATATTTTTAAAACATTGTGTAATAATAATAATAAACACAATAATAATAATAATGTGTTATATTAATAATACACACAAGAAAACCTGAATGGTGCCATTAAACACTAAATTTTAAACACTATATTCAACATAAAAAGGACAGAGGCACAAACTGAAATAATGTTCACCTTTAAGTTTTGGCATTTTGGGCCTAAAATTGTAAGGATTTCTTATAACAATTTTTAAAATTCATCCGGAACCAATTTTGAAGAAAAGTCATCTTTCTCTCTGCTAGTTCTCCTCATCTTCATCTGAACGTAAACCCTTATCCCGAGTTTCTCCCTGCCTCGCTCCCTCTTCTCTTACAAAGCTGATTCCCAAGCTGCGCTAACAGGAAGTGAGCACAATGTGTTGGCTCGCAGGAGTGATAACACAGACAGGAAGGGGCGGGCACTACCCCAGATGGACAGGAAGTTGGACTCCGCTGTTTGGCTTAGCTGATTAAAGGACAATGAGAGTGTAGGAGATATGGCGAGGCCAAGCACGGAGAGAAAAACTGAGAGTGAGGCGAAGGGGCTGCTCTGAGTGAACAACAATATAAAAGAAGTTGGCCCCCAGAAGGCTTCCAGCTATTGTGTTCACCATTTATACAAAGGCATTCCAAGCAGGCCTTAGTTTTAAATAAACATGTTCAAATCCAAAGAAAACAGAATAAACAGCAGAGTAAATAAACTATAATAAAAAACTAAAACTAAACCAAACACTTTAGGAAAAAAGAAACTTTAATCATGACGCACATCTACATGACTAAGCCACTGCACTACCGTTTGATACAGATGTCGTCATCACAGACAATTGGTGACCTTTTACCATTATGATGGATTATGGATGACTTTTTAACGGCATAAGCTATAATCTATTACCAGGCCATTACATAATAGGCCAAAAAGGCCTGCAGTTCTTATTTAAATGCTGCGGAGTGATAAATTGTTCAGGTGCTCGACAGGGCCAGGTCAGAGGTTAGACGGTCTGTAGGGAGCGGGTGATTACTTCAGAAGCAAATGATGGGCTGACATATTCAAGGAGGACGTTCAAGGATTCAGATGATTAGAACAACGTCACAAAGTGCAATAAAATAAGAAGCAGTGGCACTCGTGAAATTGTCACATCATTTCTGTCAATAAAATGTCAGAAATTTCCGGAGTGTCTATGAAGCATGTTTACATTTTCAGTAAAGTGAGCAAGCATCTTTGCTGCTAAAAGGAAATTCATATTTTCATGTAAATTGTGCCTGCAGTGTGTGGAAAAAAGAAGTGCAAACATCAGAGCAGTGAGCTGAAACATCTACCTGTTGATGGTAAATAGATGACAAGAAGCATTATAAAGGGACAAGATTATGGTAATAGAAAAAAGAGCCTTCATTTTCCTGAATTGGTCCATTCATGTTTTTTGAGTTCTGCTAAAAGTGCACATTTTAAAGATTTCCAACATTTTGAGGATGTTTCTGATTAGAGGGGTTGTGGCTTGACAGAAGCCACAAAAGGATGAGAGGTTAAAGTTATTCAAGCCTCATCAGAGACATTACGGCAGCCCAACTAGCTGCTTATGCTTCCTGAGTTGTGTGAAGGACTTTTGTTTGAGCCTGGCTCAAAGGACGAAGCTTTCATCACAACAATAACGGCGATGATAAGTACTGTCAAATGAAAACCTGCAGGGAACGAGTCGTAATTCTGTCTGAGCAGCAGCACAACCATTTCCTGTCTGTCTCTCTATTGTCTTTTCTCTCTTCAGAGCAGAAAATAACTGGGAAAATGGAGGAAATGACTCATGTGGAAAATGGCTCCTTTGTATAATGAGCTTGCTGTTCAATATTTTTCAGTTTTTTTTTTTTTTTAATCCAAAACTATATTTAAAAAATCACATACTTCAGAACTGAATAGTTTTTCCCCAAATGCACCTTTTCGCCTCCCAAGTAGGAAACAAATAATAAAAATTCAAAAGCTAATGGGCTCACCAAAAAAAATAAAAGTTCAACTGCTGGGTTCAGATGTGTTAATAGACGTAGACAATGAACAAGCAGGCCAACATTTAACCAGGTAAAGTGACCAAAAAGTGACCACATACAAGAGCTGAAACATAAAAAAATACCAAATTAAAAAAAAGAAATAAAAGAGGAACATCACTGACCCAATGAACCGATCATAGTTGATCAGGAGTTTCATCAGCTTGCACTTTGCAGGAACTTGCATCACAGTTGCAGACTAAAATATCTTCATGGTACTTACAAATCAAAGGAGTCTATCTGCAAACGTTTGAAACATTTAGTTCCTATGGAGTCATGACCTTGAGTTTCTTAAAAAAAAGTTCACTTCTTTTAATACACATTAGAAAAAACAACAAGCCAGTGAAAATATAATACTACTAATAATTCCTTGATTAAGCCTGTGGGAGCAACGAGGATTTTAATGATGCTCTTGTTCTCTGACTGGGGGTGAATAAAGAAGAGGCACAAGAAACAAATGAATCCACAAGTGAAGCTAAATGTTTGGAGGAGAAAAAGACCTCCTGATTGTGTTTTTAGGAGTCAAAGAAGTCTCTGGAGACAGTTTTTTTTTTTTTTTTCTGCGTGTGTATGGTTCTTGCATGTTTTTGTTCATTGAGTGTATTTATGGCTCTTTTCACTGATGCACACTGTTCATGTGTACATTCTGCAAAAACTGAAGTTCTATCAGTACTGATGGTAGTAGTTAGATTCGTCCATGCCGTACAGCTCAGCCAGAACCCTAAACCTCGGACCCCAGTCGTTGAGGAAGTCGTAATCCAAGTTTGACACGGATGAAGAACTTTCCAGAGAGCTGAGACTTCCGGCTAAAGACTCGGGCCCCTCGTAGCCGTAGATGTGGAGGGTGTCATATGGGAATCCGTCCCTGTCGTGATCGGCTTCGTCCTTTTTAATCTCGATCATGGCCGCCATATCGCCCTTGCACGCGGTGGGCTGAGACTGGTGGCGGGGCTTTTGCACCATGGCGTATATGGTGGGGTGTGGGAGGCAGTCAGGGTGGCGGAGCAGAGAGCCGTCGTTGCAAGCGGAGGTGAGGATTGAGACGTCATAGCTGAAAGAGAGGCAAACCCCTTAATTTAACGTGATGAGAGCTGATTCACTTTTCAGAATGCAGATAAATCATTGGACCATGAGTGGAGAGAATGTTGAACGAAGTCTGTAATTTGTTTCCAGGGTAACAAACATTTGATCAAAACAGCAAAGATATGACTTTGTAGATGACAGAACGATTTTATCCTTTCAAAGCATGCGTAATTCAGAAAGCCTTGTTAAAATGTAAAATAGGGAGTATTAGTTATTAAAAGAGTGCCTTTGAACTATAAAGGCTACACTCAGCTGTTGATGCAGATTAAGTATTTTTTAGAGAGCAGAAAGGAAAAATTACAAAAACGATGATTGTTCTTGACCCCAGAAACTGCTTAGGCAGCATATTTGTTGGAATCTAAATAAAAATAAAAAACCACTGTCATTGTTATCCTGCACCATTTTCAGACATGAGCAGTTGGTTTGTTTCAAAGGTGGACATTTTCCACATGAAGAAACAAATGGGCACCTGAGATTATAAAGGCTCAGTTATATTTAGGCATTTTAAAAGTGTTTTTCCTTATTTCTTCTAATCTGCATACCCATTAGTGTCCATCTCTCCTCCTCCCTCCTCATCGTACGTGACGAGCTGCTCATGAATCTCTCCGCTGTTCTTCATGTTGGCGAGAGAATCCTTCTGGTAGCGTTTCCTCAACACGAACAGGATCACTATAACTACGCAGAGCACAGGCAAAATGGAATATGAACCTTTGTCAAAAGTCATTCAGCTCCATTTTTTTAATTTATATTTTTAAGTGGCTAGGAGTTGTCCCACAAATTAATTCAAAATGCCAGATAATGATAAGAATGTGACCATGAAACAAGTGAAATGTTAACACAAGAATGAGACCAAAACAATTTGGTTGTATGAGAGGAGTTGAATTCATTCAGTATCGTCATAGTCTTAAAAGGAACAAACTCAGCCCGCTTCGAAGCGAAACAATCTCAGCATAAAGACAAACAACAGCGAGGAGCACGAGAAACAGGAAGACAGAGCCAGTAAACACAAGGAGCCAAGAGGAAATTGGTTCAAGAAAACCAAGTTGGCGGAGGTTGAATCAGAGCAAACAGGTGATAAACAATTGAAAAGGAAGAAATAGGGTCAAGTCAGGGGATGTGGGGATTAGGAAGTAAGAGAAGAAAGACTCCGAAGAAACAATAGAAAAGTTAAAACTGATAGAAACTCAAAACAGGAGGCTGTTTGTGTTCGGGTTAAAGATTTTCAGGAACTAAAGTATGATGAAAGTATTTAAAGCAGGAAGAAGGTTTGGAGGAAGAGTAAACAGAGGTCACATCTCACAAATATTACAAATATTAAAATAAAATTAACCTTGAACAGAGCAACAAAGTCCATGCTCAATAATCCAGGTATACAGAGCAGTGTACGCTTATTATTATTATTTTTTTTAATGTTTTCTAAAATTATTTATTATACATCTTTCGGTCCTCTCCAAAATGTTTTCATTCATTTGTTAAAAAGCCATAATGTGAAGAGAAAATAAAAAGGATAATTGCTGTTACGAAGTTATGATTTTTAAAGTGTTTACAGTTTGGAGTTACAATAGTCCCTCGCTACTTCACGGGTCGTTTTTCGCGGACTCGCTCTATCGTGGTTTTTCAAAATAAGATTGGAAATTACACAACTGGCTGATTGATGGATGAGCTGCACGACCAGCATGGAGTTTTTATTTAAAATAAATTATTTAAATTATTTAATACCTGTTGCACCTGTGTGCAGCCCACAGCTGCAAGAGAAGTTTCCTCCTGCAGCATGTCAGATCTCCGCTCTGCAGCAGAGAGGTGGGTGTGGCCGAGAGCACTGGTCACGCCCACTTCCTGCAGAGTGGCAAAGAGCAGCCAGAGGCAGAGAGAAGGAAATCATGACACGCTGTGCTCTTTTAGAACGTTTAGAGTTTACAAAATTGTTAGGGACATTGCAAGAGTGTAGGAAGGGTTTAAAACACTTGTATACATACCTGTATATAAATACTAAAATAAACTACTACTTACTACTACTACTGCTACTTGTGTACATAATTTCGTTCCATCTCATGTACCACATGAGATGGTAATGACAATAAAGTTTACTTGAACTTGAATTTGGACTACTGTATCCCTACTTTGCAGTTTTTCACTTATCACAGGTGTTGTGGTCCCTAACACCTGCGATAAATGAGGGACTGCTGTACTTGAACATTGGTAACCATATTTAATCTGATCTTTTTTTAAATTTTTTGGATTTGGTTTGAATACATTATTTTATTTTGGAGTATTTTTGTTTTCTAAAATAACTTCTGACTGGATGTAACTGGTCAATAAAGCCACATTTGTACACTCATATACTCATTGTACACATATTATTCCATTAAAATGTATCATTTTAGTCCTGCATGTGTCATCTTTAGACCGGAGCAATTCAAACTATTGACAGCCTCTCTTGTAAAGGACATGTATGTATACTGAATGCATGACTGTGGTAATGCTTTGGATAATTGTAATAAGATTGTCATGTTCAAAGTAAAAAATAAATAAAAAATCTCTGAAGAAAGACTCAATTTCCCTTCACTGATTATTCTGAGCTGAGTTCAACAAGTTCAGCTTGATAAGAAAGTTGTTTTAAAAGAAACTTTTCCTGTGACCTGAATTTTATTGTGACCATGGAGAGGAAAACGAAGAAAGAAAAGGAGAGGAAAACGGATGAAAAGGAGGAACAAACGAGGCAAACAGGTGCTGATTGAGGGAAGAAGGAAGAAGGAAAACGGGAGACTTGATGATGACTGATGAGGGAATCAAGAGCAAGGACAGATGAAGAGGAGAGGAGGAAAGGAAGGCTGCGTTTGACATTAGATTAGGCCTTAGGCGTTGGTCCCGATATGAACTCTTTTCTCTCTCGGCAGACGGGCAGCATTAGCCATGCCTTTTAGATGAGGGCGGATGGGACTAATTTGGGTTTGCATGGGAAACCAACAGATTAATCTTTTACAACACATGCTCTGCAGTTTAATAAGCTTTGGAGATATCAGACTTAGAAAGACAACAGACGAGTGAGTGTAATAAAAAAAGAAGGCAGAAAAAAGTTCTGTCTTTGTTGAAGACGACTGAGAAAAAAATTCTTTCTGCGTGTCAAACCTGACTTCATGTGAGAAACTGTGCCTGTGAATGATAAATTGCTTTGGGCCTCGACAGATAACGACAAGTGCATTTAATAGTTAATCTAGCCTGCTTTAGGAGTGTATGATAAAGCAAGAGAGAGGCAGAAAGTGGACGAGTACTAGGAAAAGAGAGAGATAGAGAGACCCTGAGGGAAAGAGGAAAACAGAGATGAAGAAAAAATAAAGGGAGGGGAGGGAATGATAGTGAAGGAGTGTATTAATAGTTAATAGGCTGAGTGTTTGGTGGTGTTTGATAAGCAGACGGCACCTAAAGAGCTGATAAACTCCCCTCATTACCACGTCTATTCTTCCACTGCGTTTCCCACAATTCTCCTCTTCAGCTTCTCCCAAATCACTTTCTGTCCCCGTCACTCAGTTGCTCTGATCTCTGTTGCCTTCGGTCTGTCTTTCACCTATCTCCCCATTCACATAACTAATTCTAGATGGAGGACTCCCCCCACACATTTTCCCCAAGTCTTTCCCTTCAATCTTCAACACTTCTCATCCCTCACGTACAGCCATATCTCCAGCGTGTCCCCAATCCAATACAACAACAGTCTCTTCAGGAGGAGCAGAGGTAAAGGTATCAAAGAGAATGTTGAGCTCACAACCACTGCCGTTACTTCCACATCCGCTGCTGCATTATTCATAAAAACAACAACACCGGGGGGGGGGGGGGGGGGGGGGGAATCCCCCCACAAAGCATAAATTATATGTATTGCAAAGTAAGGGTGAGTGTATCATGTTCCGTTCACGCAACAATTAATTCAACCTTTATATATACAGATTAGTCTCATTGAGCCACGAGGACTCATTTACAAGAGAGACCTGTTTTAAACAAAGAACAGAAGAGGTACAAACAATAATAGACATCATATAAAAAAGAATATAAATGAAAAGTTTATAGAATAAATGAAATAAAAAATGAAACAAAAAACATTAAAAACGAGACAAAAACAGCTACATTATAAAGCGATGTAAAATACTCAAAACAGGAACATGTCTGTGTTGGTTTTTGCCATGAACGATGCATCATTGATGCTTCTTTTGGAAGTTATTATTATTATTTTTTTTATTGAACAGCAACAGAGAGAGTTAAAGGCTTTTACTTGGATTATAGGTTTATTTATGCAAAATTTGTTGAGCTGATTCAAGCTGCAAATGTCACACATTTATTGTCTTTTACATACAGTACAAACTCTATCAGACTACCGTATTTTCTGGTGTATAAGTCGCAGTTTTTTCATCGATTTGTCTGTCCTGTGATTTATATGCCGAAGCGACTTATATACATTTTTCCCCCCATATTCATAATGCAATTTTTGACTGACACTTTAAATTTCCAAGAACTGCAACAGCGATTCCTCCTGTGTGAGCTCGCTTCACTCAGCTGGTGCAGGCTGAGGAACGCTAGAGAGCTAGCAGCTCCGGCTGCGATGGATGGATGGTGCTCTGCTGCCAAGGCAAAATGAAGCTGTTTTGACCTTTAAATAAACGCATAATGAATGCGATAATAAATGTGATAATAAATGCGATAATAAATGCGATAATAAATGCGATAATAAATGCAATAATAAATGCAATAATAAATGCAATAATAAATGCGATAATAAATGCGATAATAAATGCGATGGGTCAGTGGTGATGCATAATGAATGCAACTTATACGCCAAAGCGACTTATAATTGTTTTTTTCCTCTTCGTGATGCTTTTTTGACTGATGCGACTTATATGCCGAAAAATACGGTATATGTACGTCTGCAGTATTGTACTGAACTTGATTGTGAATACAAATTAATTAATTACATATGCTTGATAGTTGCAAAAACAACAAATAAGTTTAGATTAGGATGAAGATGATGCTTTAGAACCCATTAAATAACTTTCTGCTTAACAATAAAGAAATGTGTTTAAAGCACATTTGATGCCTATATCTGAACTAAACAGAAAGTAAAGATTTAAATCCTTCTTTGTTTGAATATACAAACAATTTTAAAATGCTAAATGTTATTATAATTGATATTTAATATTTTTTTCACTACAAACTGTTTCCGTTTCAATGTCTTATTAAGCAGAATTCGGCATAAAGTTTTTCCAACTTATTTATTAATTTTTCTAATTAAGTCACTGCTCCAACACTAACAGAAATCATTCAACAGGTTCACATTTTGCCTTTCAGGTCTGTAACACACCTGGACTGACGTGTAAGGAAGTGCCCTAAGGAGTAAAGCACACCCAGCTGATTGATGAATTACTCCCCAAAATCTACTGAAAACAACTAAATTATGTTATCAACACCACACCTAATGCTTTGTCAGTGAACCTGCTAAACCTTTAAAACAAACAGAAATGAAGAGCCAATCCCAAAGGACTGCAGCAAGAGTATTCAAGCAGTTTCATTGCAAAAGCGCAAATGTGTAGGTTTTGTTTTGCAATACTCAAACCTGATTGTGCTGGAGGTTTTCCCTATTTTTGGAGCACAAATGCATGTGCTCTTTCCCCCATCAGAGAAAACAAAATGAAAAGGCAGGTTGATCATTATCCCATAGTGCAAAGCAAGAAAATGTGCAAACAAGTAATCCCAGAGCTAACTAATAATGTGAGACTCAAATCTGGCAGTTTTAAGAAAATCTTTCCTGGTTGTAGATTTGTTTTTTGTTGGGTGCAGAGGTGAGGAACAAGCTTGTTTATCTCATCTTGTTCCTTATTTTTCATTTTCCAAGACGAAGCAATATCATTTCACGTAATAAATATCTTTTGTACAGCTCCACAGAAGGTCTTTTCACATATGAACTAAAGACACGAGAACAAACTAGATTTATGTTTGTTTGTCCTAAAAATGATAATAACTTTAAAAAGACAGGAAAATATGATCTTCACCACATCAAAGATCTGCTCAAACACTGATGTCCAGACGGAGGTAAATAAAATTAGCACAATCATATAAAGCTAAAGTTGACAGCTAAATGAAGTTGAATTAATGAAAGCTTTGGCAGTGAGTGATAACAGCGTCACTTACCCAGTATGGTTAGTATGCAGAGCAAGATGGCTATCAGGGCGTGGACACTGACTCCCATCCTCCGTGCACTGGCTTTGCACTGCGAGGGAACTCGTCTACCTTCACACCGACACAACTGCAACCAGACGGACAAAAAATATATAGTGAAACAGTCAGTACATTTTAAATTCACTTCTTTTAAAAAGCTGTTTGACCTAAGTAGAAGTAAAAACAAACACGTTTGCAGTTTATTTTGCCAGTTTGTCATGCAGTTTGTTCCCTTCTAACCAACAGAAGAAAGTAAAGTGTTGTGTTTTGTCATCTTTATATGCTCCTTAAATTAGTGATCTGCACATGAAGTACACCCAAATGGAGCAGCGGGCAGATATGTAAGCGCCCGAGGAGCAGTAAGAGAAAAGGCATTTTGCTCAAGGACACCATGACATCTGGAGATGGCAGAGAGTCAAACCTGGACTTTCCAGTCCCAAGTTTGCTGCCACTGAGCCACACCCACCCCGGCTACAGAGACCTGAATAAAACACACAGAGACCTTGATTGCCAGTTTGGTGATGCTGGTCTGGATGGGCCGCCCTCCATCACTGATCCGCACATCCACACTGTGATCCTTGGGGTCATCCAGGCTGAACGGGCCTTGCTTCACTATCAGGTCTGCTGTGTTGTCTGAACAAGAAGTATGATAGTGTGAGGAGATGGTGTTTGTAATTTAAAAATCATTCACTAATTTCTTTCACATTCTCACACAATCTACAGATTAATCTTCTTGATTCCCTCAGGTGATTCTAAAGCACACCTGCTGAGTATAACAAGCTCACAGAATTTAAATTAAACAGAAAAAAAAATCTGAATTAAGGCAGTGAAAAGACTTTAGCCTAACACCAGACAGAGAAATTAACTGTCACTTTGAGACACTGAGATAGCGAAGAACCATAAAAGGGGGATCTACATGTTGCAAGCGTTTCTCTGAAGACAATTGTTTTGTAGTTTCTGTACAATCCACAGTCAGACAAAGACACAATAAGTTAAAAGTCATGAATGGTGTTAAGGAGATTAGAGTGGTGTGTTTTCTGCAGGTCAGACCAGCAATACAATCATTAATCGAATATCAGTCGGGCAGAAGTTTCCTGAGAAGATGAGGAAAGCCTTTCTCCTTAGTATTCCGCAGCTGGAGGAATTTCACGAACACAATGACAGGAAAGAGTTTCACACGTCCTACAAACAAACGGTAACTCTGCTTTAAGTTTGAAGAAAAACAGCCCATAGTGATGCAGACTAAAACTATACTTTGGAACAAATTATTTTAGGTTTCTAAAAGGTGACTGAGTAAATGTCTTTAGCGCCTGATTCCAATTATTCCATCCCTTAAATAAAGAGAGACCTAATCTGGTTCATACAATTTGAATGCTACACTTCACACCACCATCTGCTTAACTAATCAGATTACTCTAAAAGTTTGCACAAATCAGAAGGAATTTTTTTTATTGATGTCAGAAAATGAAAGCAACAAGCTCTTTTATCATTGGCACGTTTGAAAGGCGTTTTATTAGTTCCTAAAGATTTGATGTTTTGAGGATTTTCTTTTAAGCACTGGAAAAAGTAAAAGGAGGTGATAAAAGAAATTCTCCTTCAGACATTATAGTTATAGAAAAAATGTCAGGTAGGTAAACAGCAGGTTTTGAGATTGCAATTGAACTTTTGAATGAAAACACAAAATTATGTGTTGACAGTGATGTACAGCTTTGATGGTGAAGGAAGTAAATACATTTTGAACTTTACCATCAGTCTGATACAAGAAGAAATCATGTGCTTTATTATATTATATTTTTTATTGTTTAGCATATATCTTGTATCCTTGTATACTGTTTCTTTTTGTACTTTATTTTATTGCTATTTTGGGGTGTAACTGGGGCCTTTAGTACACAATTTCGTTCCACCTCATGCACCACATGTGATGTGAATGACAGTAAAGAACCTTGAACCTTGAAATAAACAGTTTTGCATAAGGGGGAAAAAAAAAACCTTAAAAGGTCATTTTTCCTAAGGGCCTTATAATATAATTAAATGCCTGGCATGTTTTGTGGGACTGCAAATCGCCTACCACCTTTCATGCTAGAGGTTTTTTTTTTTTTTTTTAACATGCTAGAGGTTTTGCCTAACAAAAAATATAAAAAATATAACGAGAAATGGTGGCGTTATCTCCACTTTTGTCAAATCTTAAAAATAAGAATAATTCCATGTGAGCTCAGAGTATGTGGTGTGATTATCAGCAAACTTTAGCTCAGTATCTGTAAAACAGACCATGTTATAGCCTTTATGTCTCAGCTAATGTTGATTATTTATGTTAATCATCTTAAATTTGGTTGACTCCAAAGATTTTTCACTGCCGATGTGCATATTTTGATTACTGTCTATGTTTTTTTTTAGTAAAACGACCCTTACACACAAACACTGGCAAAGGCGGGAAATAATTATCATTAGAAAAGTCAGGTAAACTTAAGAAAAGGTAAGTTTTAGCTGCTCTCCATTGGCTCCCTGTCAAGTCCAGACTTGAATTCAAAATCTTACTTCTAACCTACAAATCCCCCAACAACCTAGCTCCATCTTATTTTTTTCATTTTTTTTTTTTGAATTATTATTGTTCCATATTTTTCTAACAGAGCACTTCACTCTCAAACCGCAGGCTTACTCGTGGTCCCTAGAGTTTCCAAAAGTAGAATGGGAGGATGATCTTTCAGTTATCAGGCTCCTCTCTTGTGGAACCAACTTCCAGTTTCTGTCTGTGAGGTGGACACATGTCCAGTTTGAAGTCTGGGCTTAAGACTTTCCTTTTTGATAAAATTAGGGTTGGCTTGTTATGCTGCCATAGGCTTAAACTACTGGAGGACAAATTGACCTCATTTCCTTAATTGAATTGTTAAAATTGAATAGTTTTCATTTGATACTATTTCTATCTTAACATGTGATTTTTGACCTGCCATTGTGTATCTGTTCCTCACAAACCCAGCCAGTCGAAGCAGATGGCTGCTTGTCCTGAGTCTGGTTCTGCTAAGGTTTCTTCCTCATGAGGGAGTTTTTCCTTTCCACTGTCACCTTTATACTTTCTTAAGATGAGAGTTCGGTGATGGAGTTAAACTCAAAGCAGTCTGCCATCAGATGAATAATGCTAACTTAATATTTTTATGTGAATGTTTCTGTTCAGTGCCCTGAGATGACTTCTGTTGTGACTTGGTGCTATATAATTAAACTGAATTTAATTTAATTAGAAAGTGTCTAAAACTGTTTAAATGCTAAAAATAAAAAGTCAGATTCTATGTGTTTTTCTGTTTTCATGCCAGGAAACTGAATGCAGATTAATTTAACTTTATTTTCTCATTCTCTTCACTTTGCTGCTCAGAAACTGTTGTTCCTACACAGTCGTGTGACGGAAGAACATGAGAGCGGATGAAGACGTAGCTAACAGAATAAAAGATGAAAAACGTGTCTGTCCGCTCATCATCTCACCCCTCTTCTTCATCACGTCTGCCACTCTTCGTGTGCTTGTTATCTTCTCCTAATTCTCTCTCTCTGGGTTTCTGGATACTTCTCACTGTTCTCCAGAGGTTCGGTTTGCGCTCTTCATCTCATTACTCTTCTTGTTGTTTGTGTCCCTCCTGCTCTGCATGTCTGGCATTAATGCAGAGAGCTTCATGTAGGTGCCAGCTCCAAACATGGAGTCATGTCACTTCACTGCACGGCTACACTGGCTTTTCCCGTAATGAAGGTTGTTTTCTGACAGATTTAAAGGGGTGGGAGTTGATAAATATTTTAAAACGCTTTACTTTCTAGGTCTTGTTGTATGTGTTTGTAAGGTGCCTGCTGATGACTTTGGGGGGCTACAATGAGAGAAACAAGCAGAGATTCAGAGTGACAGTCAGCTTTATGGAACAACTCTTTCCTTCTTTTCTGTCTTCCTTTCTTCTTCATTTCACCTTTCATTTTTTTCCACCTGCTTTGAAACATTTGATGTTTCTGATGGGATCATTTCTTCATGCCATCATCTGCTCTCCTTTGCCTCACAGCAACTTCTTTCTTCATGTCTTTTCCGTTCTCCTTTTCCTGACATCCACAGTCCCTCTCTACATGTTTTCTCTCATATTTCATCGTTTTTCTTCCCAGTTCTCCTCTTCAATCTTCCATGGTGTTTCCATTTGTCCTGCTTCTTCTCTGAACTCTGATTTTTATCCATTTTTATATTCCTCCTCAAACTCTGCAGTATACCTTCTTTTCTAACTCATCCTTTCCCTTCCTTTCATCTTCTTTTTCACTTTTCCCTCATCTGTTTTTTTCTTTTGCTCTCCTATTTTTGCTCTTCTCCATCAGTTCATCATGTTTACTCCTTCAGGCATAAGCAGAGTGAAAATGGATGAGGAGATATGTTTATTCCCTTTTTTTCTTCCTGTTTATTTTCTTCTCAGAGCAGTTCACTTTAATTAAATATTAACACTTCACCTAAACCCTCCATCTGACTACCTGAGGCTTTCGTATGAGACAATAACAGGTGATAACACTTTTCCGGAGGCTTCTGTGTATTTTAGCAGCACAAGTCTGAAGATAAAAATGAATAAAATTGTTTTTTTGTCTTTTATGCTGAAAAAAAATTTCAAAATCTGACTTAGCAAAGCACCACTCTTTAAAAAAAATTGAAATGTCTGTGTTTTGTATGCAATGTTAGCAATATATTTTGTAACCCACTGGACAAATTTAACTATTTATTCAATTCAATTCAGTTTATTTACAGTATATAGTGCCAAGTCACAACAGAAGTCGTCTTAGGGCACTGAACAGAAACAGTCACACACACACACACACACACACACACACACACACACACACACACACACAC